TATTATGGATTTGAGGTGGTCACCTAGTGTATAGCAATTTGTTTAACGGTATTGGATCTTGGTTATGAATCAAATTTGATATTAGATCTGAAAGCTTTCTAGGTGGCAAACCAATAACAGAAAAAAGACAAGTAGTAGTGGCTATTATGGTGATCGAAATAGTAGGAGAAGAAATGGAAGGGAGAGGAAGGTTAAAAACATTGTCCTCTCCCTCCTAAGGAGAAGAGAAAGAGAGAGTGACTAGGGTTTCTTAGAGAGAGGTAAAATGAGGAAGTTAACAATTTTTTTTGTGTCTATTGGAGGATAATATGTCACGACCCGCTCCCCGTACCCAAGGGTTAAGCATCGTGATGGCCAGTAACTGAGGTTACCTACGGCCAATTCTTAAACAAATCAATAAATGCGAGCGGAAGTAATATTTAAATGAGGGTACCAAAATAATCATTGGAATTTCTGTTTTTATTTCAAAATTGTTTTGACCAAAAAGGTCGATATTTACAAAGAAAAATATCATAAAAATGCTGTGTGTGTGTCTATTCCGCAACCCCGCATCTAAGACTTTGTAAAAGCTATTTCTGAATTGCATGTTTCTTGAAAATTGGTAAATAACTATCAGCACATGGCAGAGTGAGAAATATTATACCAATAGTATAAGGGACACGAAATAACCATGGATAATTATGTAGCCAAAACATTTGCACAACTCAGTTTGGTACATAAATCATTAGTAACCAAATCATTTAAGTAGCAGAACTGAAATACAGAAATTATGTAAGTAAATAACCATAACCACGGTACTGAACAGAACAGAGGTCACAAGAGTGACAATCAGAACAGAGGTACGGATTCAAGCGGTGGCTCGTACGGATTCAAGAGGTGGCTCGTACGGATTCTAGAGGTGGCTCCCACAATAGTGTAACACTTACCTTCGCACAACACTTTGGTCCGCACAGAACAGAGATACAAATTCAAGATGTGGCTCGTACGGATTTTAGAGGTGGCTCCCACAATAGTGTAGCACTTAGCTCCGCACAGCACTTTGGTCCGCACAGAATAGAGGTCAATGGATCTATGACAGACAGAGGGTCACAAAGTAACCAAACAGAGGCCAATAGTTATTTAAGTCCCCCAAGGCGTGTGACTCCCGTGGTGGTACTTACAAAACATAATTGTCTATAAGGTCATAGCCAAATATTCTTTAAAAGTAAAACAAACATATTCATGAGTTTCCTTTTAAGCAAATAGGGTTAAGAAATAAAACCATGTAACTGAAATATTTATAAAACAGAACTTTTATTAAGATACTAATAAAACATAACTTGTATAAAACAGATTTTGGTAAGTCAAAACATACGTAAAATATATTTTGATGACTCAAGATATAATATAACTAACCTTATACCTTACTCTTTCTTTCTACTATCAAAGATCCATTCAGCTTCTACTATTTTTTCCTTTCTTTCCTTTCTTTCTATCCGTTCCTTTCTTCTTTCTTTCCTTTTCCTTCTTCCTTCTTTCTTTTCTTTCCTTTCTTTTTCTTTCTTCAGGTGAAACGCCTTCTCCCTTTTATAGGGAGGAGAGACGCGTACATGGCCTCCACGTGGCTAGACGTGGCTTTCGCTCAGATTTAATTTATAATTATATAGATTCATTCTTATTCTTAATAGATATTTAAAATAATTACTCTTTGACCCAATATTTTAATATAATTATATAAATTAATTAATTTTTAATTAAATTACATTTTATCATATACTAATAGAAAATTAATTATTTATTTTAATACCACACCCATTATTATTATTATTTATATTATCTATATTATTATTATTTATATTTTGACCCCTAAACTTTTAATAATTATATTATTTTACAAAATTAGACATAATAATATATAATAAATTATATATTTTCCGAACTGAGATTAAATAATATTAGTATAAATTTTACATAATAATTAAAAATCTGAATTGTTACATAATAGAGATCTTATAAGATAAAATATATATCACAAACGAACCCATTGTTTTGATATATACATGCTCGACAATTTTACATGATTTAATTACGTTTATGTAAATTCAGGGCTAGGTTTCTCTCCAAGAGGAGAGAACCAACTAAACCATCTAGTTTGCTTAATGGGGTCGATTATGGGCCTCACTTTGATAATCTAAATTGTTTATTTTGTAGAGTTTTATGAGTAAATCATTAGTGTCAAAAATTAGATTGATTAGACATTTATAGCCATTTGATTAGACGTCATTGGTTAGCGGAAAAAAAATAGACTGTTTACTTTTAAATTCATATTCTTTATTAATTATTTTTCAAACAAATTTGATCCAATCAAGTTGATTCTGAAGTTCGATAAATTTCATTTTTTAAAATAAATAATTCACTTAATAAATCTTACAAAATGAACGATTTATATTATTAAATTGAGCCCGAAATGAATCTACTATGGATGAGACTAATAAACCCTTCAATTGCGATAATCAATTAGAGGTTGTCCACTCTAGGGGTGCTCGCAGATCGGTTTTTTACAGTTTGGTTTGCGGTTTGGACCCGCCCGCATGTCTGCGGTTTGAGAAAAATTGAATCTGCAATTGTCCGCAGTGTGGTTTGCGGTTTGTGTAGATAGGATTCGTGAATGTGCAGGTGATTTGCAGATTGAGTTTTTTCTTTTAAAAATTTATTTTTGGGCTTGTTTTTCTCTATTTTTAAATATTCATGATTGCGGGATATTCAGCACTATCCTCCAGTAAAACTGGATTACAAAAAATTAGAATGAAAATTAAATAAAAACTAACATATAAAAAAAATCACATAACTAGATTTGTAAAGAATTGGAGAAATTCCAATTGAAGAATAAGTATTTTAAACAAAGCAGTGTGTGATATTATTGTAATGTTATAATGTTATTATAATGATGTGAAAAAAAGTGGTTGACTAGTGGTGAAGCAAAACTTACATGAAAATTTGATGGTCTAGATTTTAAAAAAAGAAAAAAAAAATGTATACAGATGCGAACGGGTGAATGCGAGTGCAGGTAAAACTCGTGACCCGCCCGTAACCCGCAAAACAGAAAAATCCTAACCTGTATCTAACTCTAATAATTCTACAAAACTGTCCAAATAAATGTAAGCAATTCGAATTAAATGATATTCGAAGGTCAGATAGATAATGCTCATTTCTAGTCCACTCCCATAAATTTAATCATCTAAAAAACTATGGATCAATAACTAGTTATTCAACTCATCTAGGTTGTCCTTTGACCAGTGGCCTTAAAAGTAGGTGGTATTATTGTTTCGTCAATTTTGTATCAAAGGGCACATATTCTTTACTTACTTCAATGGTTGAATACATTATTAGAAATCAAGTGGTTTGCTTATTTTATTGAGTTATTTTATTATACTACTAATTTAGAATGGTCAACTTTTCAAGGGCACTATTTATATTCGAACTTGCATCAGGGCCTTTGGAAAGAGAGTAAAAAATCAATTTTTAATTTTTTTTATCTATTTTTGATCACAATATTTTTTATATTTTTTACTCAAAAAAAATTAAAAAAATTAAAAAGCGAACTTTTTCAAACACTCCGCAACAATTTTGAAATGATCAGTTTTGGTTGTCCAACTTGCTGGTTGTCATATCACAAAATAGCAAGTTTCCACTCAAAATAGACCATGGTAGTGAATGAAAGATACAATTAACTCGATTTGGTTTTAATTTTTTCAATTTAATTATTTAAAATTCAAATTTTTAATTTTTTTATTTTTATTAAATATTTTTAAAATTTTAAGTATTTTTTTTTACTTTTTTAAATGTACTTTACATAGAGATATATCTAAAAATTAAAATATTTGTAAAAAACATTTTAAAAATTAATAAATACACAAGAATATGAAAATGTACTGAATTCTTGTATTTTTTTGTTATATTTTTAGTATTTAGCAAATTTTTTAAATATGTTTTTCACAAATATTATATCTTTTTTAAGTGTATTTATGTTAAGTGTATCTAAAAATTAATAAAATTACTAAAAATATCAAAAAAATTCAGTGAAAATAAAAAAAAAAATACAAGGAACCAAAAATTTCAATTTTCTAAAAAATGAATCCTGCAAAGTGAAACTATACAATTGTTTGGTTTGTTTCACTTTTCAAGATTCACTTAAAATTTAAAATTTAAAAGAACATAATTAAAAATTTTAAATAAATAAAAAATTTAAAATTTAAATTAACATAATTAAAAATATAATATTTATTTTATACCAAAATCAAACTATTGAGTTTTTTTATTTTTTATTTTTAATTGTCCAACATTCTACCTGCAATGTTTCAAAATTCGGCTATTTTAATTGACATTTTAGCTATTTGGATATTTTAACTTGAGTAAAAAGTTACATTTAGAATGATAGCTGATTTTTTTGTAATTGATTTGATAATTATAAGAGAAAAAATTAAATAATTATAATTTAGGGAAAATCGGTCTAGGGTCCCTCTCTCACTTTTCGTAATGGAAGACATCCACAAAATTATTTTTTGATGTCTAAGGTCCCTTTGTAGAAATAAGGTGGCACATATGCACTCCTCGATCGGAAACCCATATAAGGGTTGTTGGGACGCCGTGGACAGAACTGCTTCATCCCAGGGACATTAGTACGCTTGGCTGATACCTTCAATTGGCGGCCATGAAGTTGAGATTCATTCAGAAGCAGAGCCTCCTGAACAGCTTCTGTTTCAAGGAATTCCACATAGGCATACCCCATACCAGGGACCTGAAAAAAAATACCCCTATAATTTAAATGTAATATTTATCTTATTATCTATTTTAATCTATTTTATTTTTATTATTTATTTCACCAGGAAAAAAAAAAGAACAAAATTCAATTCCCGAACATGGCCGGTAAATGTAGCCGGCCAACTTCACTTATTGAAATGACATTCTCGTAATTAACAGGACCTTTAGGGGCCTCTGTATATTCTCCGATATGAGAGAGAGTAGAGAGAGAGAGAGAGAGAGAGAGAAGAACAAAAAGGAGCTGTAATCACATGGAGTTTGTTTGGCTGATGGGTCCTCCCTCGTTCCGCCCGACAATTATGAGCTGAAACTCTTTTTGTCCAAAAAGAAAATATTCTTCTTCCTTTCCTCTTCTTCCTTCATCTCCATCTTTCGCCTGAAAAATTATGGCCGACGACAAGGTAAGATCTCTACATTTTCCCGGAAAATTTACCATGACTCTCATATCTGAATTGCTGTGTGTGCGCTTTCCGTTTGTTTCCCTGGAAAATTTGCTAAACTGGCCCCTATTTTACATACCCTTTTGCTTAAATAGTAGAATTCCATGTGGGTTTTTGTTCTTCTTGTTCTGTTTTCTGGGCAACTAAACTGAGGGTTGCTTAGGGTTTATTTGATGAGCTGGGTTGTTTCCTTCACTTGCATTTCTGGTGATTGCTTTGATGGTAGGGTTTGAAGTTGGGAATCTTTTTGTCCTGTCTCCCTTCTATGTTGATTTTTGACTGATTTGGGTCCTTTTTTTTTTTTTGACATATGGTCTGAATCTTAGCTGAACTATCTTTTAGATCATAGTGATTTTGTGTAATTTTGGTTTTATTTTATGTTTCTGTGATTTTCATTTGCTCATTGTCATTTTAAATATTTCTCTGGTTTAGTTTAGTATAATTGCTCAGTGGAATGCCATTAGTATTGTTCTTGATCAGGGTATTTGCTTCATGTGATCTATGAGATTTCTAATTTCTGATTTGTCCAAGCTCATGTATATTTTCTAAATACCAGTTGTTTGTCATAGGTAAATGATCTGTGAATTGTTTGTGTGCCATCTTGATCTGATATGTCTTGCAGGAGATCTCTGCCCCAGTTGTCGACTCAAACGATACAGTCACTGGTCACATTATTTCCACGACCATAGGTGGCAAAAATGGAGAACCCAAACAGGTAATACTACCTTCTTGAATACCCTTTTGACTTGCTCTGAACAAGTTGTGTTATTGATTCATGCATACATACATATAATTTTGTGCACGGTGCACACATTTAATAAAATTAAAATTTTCACTAGAATGACACAAAAGCATGGCTTCTCATTTGATCGGGTCTTCAAATCAACTGGAATTCAGTCCATACATATTTGCATTTCTTTTTTCTTTTCTATATATATAAATTTTGTGACATGTATATGTGAATTGCTAATCATAACACAATCATTAACTATTCAATAAGATGTAAATGTTTTAAATGCTTACCTGTTAATGTCCCTCATGTTTTGGGTTGAGGGTAGGGGTATTTGCATTTTGGTTGCAGATTTTATTTCTTTATTTTTAAAAATTTTTTAACACACTATTATTGTTATTGCAGACGATCAGTTACATGGCAGAGCGTGTTGTTGGGACTGGATCGTTTGGAATTGTTTTTCAGGTGTGCAGACGATTATTGATGCTCTTTTGATGTAGAAGAATTTTTTTTTTTTTTTTTTTTTTTTTTTTTCCCTCATTTGATGCACTAATGCTGCTCTTCTCATAGGCCAAATGCTTGGAAACTGGAGAGACAGTAGCAATAAAGAAGGTTTTACAAGACAGAAGATACAAGAACCGTGAATTGCAATTAATGCGCACAATGGATCATCCAAATGTGGTTTCTCTGAAACATTGCTTCTTTTCCACTACGAGTAAAGATGAGCTTTTTCTCAACTTAGTGATGGAGTATGTCCCAGAGACCATATATCGGGTTTTGAAGCATTACAGCAATTTGAACCAGAGAATGCCTCTCATCTATGTGAAACTTTACACTTACCAAGTATGCATGGTGCTTCCCAAGGTTCCATTATTTTCTTATCTCTTCCAATGGTATTAATTAGGGTCGTATTTACCAGATTTTCAGGGGGCTGGCATATATGCACAATGTTCCTGGAGTTTGTCACAGGGATTTGAAGCCTCAAAATGTTCTGGTATGAATTTCTTTGATTGTTAATTTGAGATAACTCTGCATGGCTGTTTTCTGAGCTCGTTGTTGGCTTTATACAGGTTGATCCTCTTTCTCACCAGGTCAAGATTTGTGATTTTGGAAGTGCAAAAATGCTAGTATGTGCATCTATTTGTTTCAGCTTTCCTAATCTCTCTCTCTCTCTCTCTCTCTCTCTCTCTCTCATCTGATGGCTATCTAGTATCTTTTTAGATGACGAGTAGAATTTTTTCGAAGTTTCTATTGACCCTTATGCCAATGCGGTGTGAAATGATCATCATTAGGCATAATACTTGAAAGATTGTGATCAACTCTGGTGTTCACTTATCACATGCTCAAGAGACAAGTCACATCTACGCATATTATACTTTTTGGGCATTAGCCACTTCATGAGCTTCAAACTTTAAGAGAATTGCCCCAAATTTTGGTCTGTCGCTGCAGCTATGTTCTATATTAAATGTAAACTCACCTTTGCATATTGTTAATGGAATTCCACATTCCATTTTTCCTCAATACTTTCTAGTTTGTGTGGCGATATTGATTCTTATAGGATGTATATAAGAATCATCCCAATCGTGTGTCAAATCTGATGAAATAATCCCTTAGCTTCTCATAGCGAGTCCCCTAGGAAATGATCCCTAGTAAGGATCCAAGCTGGAGTGTAATTGACCAATTGTCTCCATTCATGTGGATATCATGATACTAAAATTACATTTATATGTATATTTCATGATTGAAGCTGCTGCCTCTTGGTAACACATTCATGCTGGTGAATATCATTGAACTTCATGTTTGTGGGGCTTTTTACTTCATGTTTTCACTGTGATTCCAATTGTCATTAGGTGAAGGGTGAAGCAAACATAGCATACATATGCTCACGTTTCTATCGGGCTCCAGAACTCATATTTGGTGCCACGGAATATACAACTTCAATTGATATCTGGTCAGCTGGTTGTGTCCTCGCTGAGCTTCTTTTAGGCCAGGTGAGCAGCGTTTTCGTGTTCTACACCTTATGCTTATGGAAATGTCCTCGTACTTTTGATTTTGGTCATACCATGTTTAGCTGACTTTTCATTATGTTTGCTTTTGTAGCCATTGTTCCCTGGAGAAAATGCAGTAGAACAGCTTGTGGAGATTATCAAGGTGCAGTTCATAATTTGTATCAGAAGTCATGCAATTCATTACCAATGTGATAGTTTCTTACATTCTTTATTCCAGGTTCTTGGTACACCGACTCGGGAAGAAATTCGTTGTATGAACCCAGGTTATACTGATTTTAGATTTCCACAAATAAAGGCACACCCTTGGCACAAGGTATGCTTTTCATTCTACCATGAAGTTATGCTGAATCATTTTGCTTTTTATAACAGCCTTTATCACTCTGATTTTGAGTTTGTGGTTTCAGGTTTTCCACCAAAGGATGCCTCCTGAAGCAATTGATCTTGCCTCAAGGCTACTACAATACTCCCCAAGTCTTCGCTGCACTGCAGTAAGTTTGGTTCTGCTTGCATTTGTATGAACATTTCATTGTTGTCTAGTTATGTAAATAATGATAGTCATTGATTCTCCATTCTGGAATGAAAGTGGAATGGAATGGAATGGAATGACCAATCCTTTCTAATGGTGAATTCCATTTGCAATACATTTTTCATCGTTTTTCTTTTTTTAATGAACCAAATATAAGAATTGACATTTTAAGTGAATGAGCATTCCATTACACCTTCATTCCATTGATCCAAACAATACCTATGAGTTATTATGGTTTAGGCTCTCCCTCTTGCATATCCATTCTCCCCTGATTGAGTGGATTTGATTCTTGATATTGCAGCTAGAGGCATGTGCACATCCATTTTTTGATGAGCTTCGAGAACCCAATGTCCGCCTACCAAATGGTCGCCCATTGCCTCCTCTGTTCAACTTCAAGCAAGAGGTAGATCCCATAACCAACTTTTTCTTCTCTCTTTTTATTAATTTATTTTGGTTGGTGGAAAAGACATGCAAAGTATTTTTTCTATTTTCGTTTCGTTCATCCGTTGGGTGGCTACAATGTTTAATTGATAATATCAAATAGAAGAATTTGTTGAAGAACTCTTGCTTGCTAAATGAAAAAAGGCAAAACTTTACTCAGTGCTTTTGCAAGTTAAAATCATATTTTCATGTAATAAATAAGACATGAACACCCTGTTTGTTAGAGATTATTTGAAGCTAAAAGCTGATAATCAGAAAGCAAAAGCTAAAATCACCTCTCCCCCAGCATCCAGATAATTTGCCTTTTTCAGATTCTTTTTGCCTAATAAGTTATAAGCATAAATTGCACCAAATAATCTGACACAAACTCCCAAATTCAAATAAAGTAACAATCACCTATTGTAACAAACACCCCCAAAGACTTTTTACTTTTTCATTAATAATAATAATAACAACAACAGAGATTATGGTAAAAAATGATGAAAAATCACTAAGTAAGAAAAAGTTTCATTGTATATGATTGAACTCTATTAAGTGCCGAATATTCGCTTCCTAGAACATTCACACTATTTTACATCTTTGCATATATATAAATATATATACATATGTGGGGATGGGGAACTTTGTCGCAGTTGTTTATTAACTCCGCCGGTCCCAAGCCTAGGTAAAAGAAGAGGGTTGTGTGTTAGGTAGTCGACAGCTAACACGTAAAAAAAGCCGCTTGGATCCCTTATGAACATGAATCATACTTTGAATCGATTAAATGCTAGGTCGTTTCCCTTAAGTGATGTGTTGCGCCTGTCTTTGGGTGTTTCAAAAAATGAGCAACGGCCATTGGCGCCTGGGTGCGGTGAAAAATTGTAGCCCGTGATAGAGCCGAATGGAGAAGAATGATTCATGTAGTTGACCCCATTTGATGGGACTTGAGGGTTGACTTGGTTTGGTTTGGTTTGGTACATGCAGAGATGAGGAGTCCCTTAACAACATTCCTCAAAAGTGTAAAATTGTAGAAGTGGAAAAAATTTAGCTTGTTTAGTTTCACTTATTAGAAAATTGAAGTTTTTTATTCTTCGTATTTTTTTGTTTAAAAGTATAATATTTGTGATTTTTTTTTAAAAAAAATTCACTAAATATCCAAAAAAAAAAGAGAAGTATATTTTCATATTCTTGTATATTTATTGATTTTTTAAAATATTTTTTTACAATATTTTATTCTTTTGAAGACATCTAAGTAAAGTGCATCTAAAAAAGAAAAAATTACTTAAAATTTTAAAAATATTCACTAAAAACAAAAAAATACGAAAAACAAAATATTTAATTTTCAGAAAATTGAAACCAAATACAGCGATTGATATTTTCAAATCCAAAATTAGTGTGAAATTTTTACTTTTTCCTTTTGCATAATTTTATATTCAATTGAGATTTTGTTTGATATATCTCGTTGAGTAAGTTTCTAAATTTTATCAAAAATTGATGTGTATTTTGAATGTCATAAATTTTTAAAGATCCGAAATATATTTGTAAAAAAAAATGTTGCCATATAGGCATGTTGACCAAAATAATGGTAATATTGTCATGAAAAAACATCTAATTTAAAGAAAGTACCTCCTAGAATACAATTCCAAACAAATATAGGATTTATTGGATCACAAGTATTTTTGTAGGATCTATGACTACAAGTTTCCAGAAAGAGATTTTTCCACTAATTTTCCCAACTATTTTAGGAAAGATTTTTTGGAAGCACCCCATTTTAGAAAGTGTTTTCGTACGAAAATGAGAACAATAAGAAGGGATGTTGTCGAAGTTCTCATTTGTTTCTGGAAAACAAAAACAAAAATGAAATTTCTTTAGACAATACCAAACTGAATTGAGGTGAAAAGTATTGTGGGTTGGGGGAAATAATAAGTGATTCTTTGTTTTATGGATTCATTACCTTCAAATGAAATTGTTTTGTTACGTACTGGAATGAATGATGATAGTACTATTAGCCTATCAGTTAATAAAATAACAGATGTATGCTTACTTATAATTTATTGACACCAGTAGTGGAGAACAAATGTATAAATGGAGTCATGGCGTTATCAACTTGTCGGTTTTTCTTTTCGTTTTTTCTTTCTTTCTTTCTTTTTTTTTTATTTATTCATTTTTTAAATCTCAAGTGCTTGTGTGCATGACTTTGTTTTCTGATACCTGGAATTTTGTTATGATTGATAAGATTTTGTGAAATCGTTGTAGATATCTATGGATAATGCTTATAAACAAAAATGATAATTACAGTCCGCACAATGCTTTCTTGAGTTGATTGAATTAGAAAAATTGCTACGAGGTTAATCAATCAGTGACTGCTTAGAAAGTTCCCATTTGAAGTTATCCCTAATGATTGAAACAACTGATTGTTTTCGTCATAGTTGGCTGGAGCTTCTCTGGAGCTTGTTGGCAAGTTGATACCAGAGCACGTGAGACGACAAATGGGTCTTAATTTCTTTCCTTCAATCACATAACATGGAGTGATGTTGAATTGGTTTCTAGTAATTGATGAACGAGACGAACAGGGGCTTTGAATAACCCTGTGGTGACCTACCTGATCAGCAGCTTCTCTTGCTCTACAATGATGCAAAATATTTAGGATGTTCAATGGCTGCACTCAATTCCCCTCCCAATTCCCCCATCAACCCCGAAAAAACTATTATGGAGGGGGAATCTGTAGTCTGTTTGTATATGTTTTATTGTAATTTCTATAATCATAAAGTTTTTTGCAGAAAGAAAAAGCTTGAAAAGAAAAAAAAAAAGAAAAAAGAAAGAATTACACGTACTGGTAGCAAGGAAGGCTCTTGAAAGAACTGCAGGGATAGGAGGGGAGGGATTTGTCGTTGTTCGTTTGATTTTCTACGGACTTGGTGTTTGTTGTGCCTGACTATGAATCAGAGAATATTATTGCTCTCCTTTGTACCTATATGTATACTATGCTTACATCATTTTGCCAATATATTTCATTTGCTGTTTTTCACTTCCCTGATATGATGGAATTGGAAAATGTTATACCTGTCTAAACTGGCACATGATGTTGCCCAGATTTCAGTCTGCAATATCCTATGTTGTTGGAAGTTTGTTGAAAAATTGTGATGAAATCACAGGAATGTTGTTGTCGTTCCGGTAGCAGTTTTGCAGTGTGCTCTATTAACATCAACTCAATCTGATTTGCATTTTGTATGGCATGGTATTATTACAAACCCTGTGTATTATATAAGTTAGTGAGATCAATTCTTAATTATATTTTAATTTATTTTAATTAACATATTAATCTAATTTTAGATTTGAAAAAATGGGGGTAAAATTATATTTTTGTTATATTAATTTCAATTTGATTTTTCAAAAAGCCAAACTCACTCTAAAAATTAGTGTCATACACCTTTCATTAGTTTGGATGAAAAAAAATTATTGGTAGCATTTTAATTCAATAGGGACTTTTTGACTATATTTAAATCGGACCTGGACTGTCTCCAGTCCAATTTGGGATTGGATAGTTCAGTCCAGCCCAGTAGGTTTCCGTTTTGATGATCTGTACCGTTTATATTTTAATATTCGTCGAGTACATCGTTTCTGTAAAAAATTAAGTGGATCGGATGATATAAATTATGTGCTCATATCAATTTTGTATGAATCGTTTTTTTTTTCACTGTTCATTTTTTTTTCATTGTCGTTATCCAATCGACTTGATTTTTTGTTATAATGATATACTCGACGAATTTTAAAATGTGAATAGTTTGAATTATCAAAACGAAATTAAAACTGATCCAAATACGTGGTTGCCGTTATTCAATCAGTTTGATTTTTTGTTGGAATGATATAATTGACGAATCTTAAAATGTGAATGATTTGAATTATCGAAGCGGAATCTAAAAATAGGCCTAACGGACTGGACAACACCTCTCCAAAAGCGTTAAACTCCTTGAGCATCAAAACGGAATCCAAAAGCATTGAACTCCTTGAACATAACTCTTTTTAGTATTTGAGTGCGTATACTATTATTTTAGGTAGGGTATAATTAGAATAATTGTGTGTAAATTGAGAGAGAGAAAATATTTTAAATTCATTAAGTAAGTGTGTTAAGAGATGATATGCACAGAAAAGAAATGGTGTGTGAAAATAGAATTACTCTAAAATGTTTCAGTCTCAAACCACGAGAGTAAAATGAATTTAACTCTTAATTTTTATTTTTTTGAATAGAGAAATGGACGCTTCGAATAAGAGGAAAAGATGGTTTCAGGACACCAACAAAGATGTTCATTAAGCTGTGTTTGGATCATATATTTGGACAGAAATTTGGAAAATGTGAGTTAAATATAAAGCTATATTTCATTCATATTTTACTTACTTTTTTCCTATTCTCTTTTCAAATTCCTACAAAAATTCATGATCCAAATACCACCTTAAATTCATGAAATTTTTGTTCCCCCTTACAAACTGAGTTTCCAGGAAAGTGAATTTGGCCTAGCAAAAGAGAAATTTCCTAGAAACAATGATCCTGCCTCATCCAATGGGCATTAATTATTGTAATTTGGTTGCCTTAGTTCGACTGGACCAAGGCAAAATTTGTTTGCAGCGATGCAATTAACATAGTAAACTTGTTTGCAGCTATGCAATTATTATTATTATTTAAATTTTGTTTTTTTTCCTGTTTTTATCCCACACTCCAATCCATCTCTATTGGAACCACCGTGACAGTTGATTACATATATGTGTGATTGATTGTTGTATTCAATCGATTCAAGTGTTCGATCCAGAGACAGTTATTATGGACGATGAATTGAGTGATGGAAAAGGAACTAGTGAGGCATTGAATTCAGTCGATGAGAGTGTGTCTGAGACTGTAATCGTGATAAGATCGGAAGCAGAGCAAAGGGCTGAGAATGGGAATCCAAATGAGAATTCAAATGACTCCAAACAAGATAAAGACTATTGCGCCATTGATGTCAAGTGTGGTAGTGATGATCGGAACGGTAAATTTGAGCAGAATATGGGTGGAGAAAGGGTTTGCAGGATTTGCCATTTGAGTTCTGATCCATCATCATCACCATCATCATCCAAAACACCAACAAGAACAAAAGCAACAAGAACAAGAACAACAGCAACTGATAGTACTATGATTGCTACAAGCTCCTCAGCAGCAGCAGCAAGGGATGGTTTGAATTTGATAGAGTTGGGTTGCGGATGTAAAGATGAGCTTGGGATTGCGCATGGCGATTGTGCCAAGGCCTGGTTTACGTTCAAGGGAAATAGGTAAATTATTTTGGAGAAATTGCAAATAAATTGGATAATCTTAAAATAATTGCAATTGAATATTTTTTTGTGCAAGCCTGGTATATGATTAATGTGAAAATTGAAAATTGAATGTTGAATTTTTTAAATTAAAAAATTATTTGATAAAGTGCTGAACTAAAAATAAGTTGTTTAATAGGAATAAGATCAAATTTAAAATTTATCATTTTTAAATTATATATTTTAATTTTTATATTGTGATGGTGATAGTGGTAGGGGTAGCAATGCTAGTAGTAGCAAAATGATAGTTGTTCTTATAATAACAATCACAATGGTGATGAAGATAGTGACAATTATAGTGGTGGTGGTGATGGTGGCATGATGGTGGCAGTGGTGGTGGTTGTAGCGGTAGCAATAGTGGTGGTAGTAGCAGTAGCGATTTTGGTGGTGGTGGCATGATAGTGATGGTTGTGGTGGTGACAGGTAACGGTGGCGGTGGTGATGGTGGTGATAGTAAGTTTATAATAATGTGTATCGATACTTATGTTTAGTATTTATAAATTCAATTAGAATTAAGTAAGTTTCATATAAATTAAAATTTTCTTAGGTTTTAACCTAAGTTTTAAAATGCACTTAAATTTTTAAATGATATCAATTGTAATTATCAAATAGATTTAATTGATTATCACTTAATACATTTGGTTTTAAATGCTGAATCGAGTTATCAACCAACCACAAGAAAAATTGAAGAACTATGAAAAATGGAATTATCTTCCCACAGCCTAAAATGCAATTTCTCCATTATCTGCCAACCTAAATTCCGTTTGAGTAGAAATAAAAAAGGTAAATTATACTAGTAAGTTCTCATAATTGAATTTAATTTTTATCAAATCCTACTAAAAATAAGTCCTAATAAAATTGTCGCTAAAAATAATTTTTTGTGATGATTTTTTACACGTCGCTAAAATTGACAATTAACGACTTTTTTTTTTGGTCACAATTTTTATAAATTGTCATGAAAACTTACAATTAGTGACGTTTTTCTGTGATAATTTTTCAAACTGTCGCTAATTAGTGATTTTTTTGTGACAATTTTTAAACTGTCATTGAAAATTAACAATTTGTGACATTTTCTTACAGAGTTTGATGAAAAACACCATTAATTGTCACATGACTTATTGGATAATAACTCTACCTGTTAGGACTTATACGTAATTCCCCAAATAAAAACTTATGCAAAGCAAAACTAGTGGAAAGTGAAAGAAGACAGAGAAATTTAAAATTAAGAGAGATAAATTTAAAATTTTAAGGTAAACCTTTGCATTGATAAATTTAAGTTTGTGTAGTTCTATACTTACACCACAAAATTAACTCTTTACACCATTTTATTTTCTATTTTTTACACCCTACAAATTTGAAATTTTAATTTCTTCTCAATACATTTACGATATCAAACCTACTCTTATCTTGCCAAACACAAACCTTAGCCCCCACTCGTAACTAGCACCTTTGACACCATTATCGTTGCCCTGACAACCATCCCCCAAATTTACCTAATCTACTAGTGACCACTGTTTTTGCCATGTCCGATCAACGCAACCCTTTTTCCCCATTCTTTTCTTTTTATTTTTCCAAATCTGTCAACCTCTCAAGATCTCTCTAGTTCTCTTTTTTGCTTCACGATGGTAGAAGGAAGTGGAGCTGGTTCGTGATGGGAATGAGTTAAGAAGTCCGACGAGAGAGGGGGTGGAAAGCATCACTAGGTTGCGATGTAGTAGGGGACGATGGCAAGAGATGATGGAAGAAAAGAGGAAAGAGGGAGCAATAATGGGCGATAGTGGGGTTTGGCACTGAATGCGGTAGAAATGGCAAAGGTGCTTGCTAGGGATAGAAATGAGGGTCGCTAGTGGTAGTTGTAGTAGTTGTGGCCAATAGAGATGGCGGTAAAAAGTAAAGAGAAACAAGAATATGAATTGTATTGAATGAAATCAATCACCAGTAATACAGTGATGACAGTATTTATAAACATATCTAGCACTCTAAACTTTACCTAACCGTAACTACCTAACCTGACTGTAACTATCTAAACCATAGTTAATCTGTAACAAGCTAACAGCTTATTTGCAACTTGCTTTGTAATTCACACATGCTTGAGAGAGAGAGAGAGAGAGAGAGAGAGAGCTGCAGTTGATGCTGTAGCCACTGTAGCTTTAACTACTTTGTCTATTCTAAGCTGGAGCCTTGGCTGTGGTTGCTGGCTGCTAAGGTGTGGCCTTGGCTACTGGACTGTGGCCTTTGCTGCAGTTGTTAGTCATTGTGTTGTGGCCTTGGTTGCAGCTGGTTGTTGTGACTGCTCTGCCTTATCATTCCCTCTCAAACTCAGAGGACTAGGAAGGTCTAAGAGTTTGCTCTGAAGGTACTGAAATCTAGCCACAAACAAGGGTTTGGTGAAAATGTTTACTATAGGAATATAACAAATGTGAAGCTTCTTGGCTGCAACCCTTTCTCTGACAAAATAATAATCCACTTCAATATGCTTAGTCCTAGCATGAAACACAGGATTATGGGTCATAGCAATAACAGATAAGTTGTCACACCAAAGAGTTAGAACAGGCACATGAATATGAAGCTCTACTAACAACATACCAAGCTAACTAAGTTCTGTTGATGTCTGAACTAAGGCTCTATACTTTGCCTATGAGGAAGATCGAGACACAATTAGTTGCTTCTTTGCAGACCAGGAAATTAAATTGCGGCCATTGTAAACACAATAGCTAGTAGTTGACCTCCTATCAATTACATTGCCTGTCTAATATGAGTTTGAGTAGGCATTAAGAAGAAGATGATCACTAGAGAAATGAAGACCATAAGCCAAGGTACCTTTAAGATATCTGAGCAACCTTTTGACAAAAGCAAAATGGCTATTTAAGGGTGTTTGCATGAATTGAAGGCGTGATTGACTACAAAGGCAAGATTTGGCCTAGTCATAGTGAGGTATTGAAAAGCACCAACTAAGCTTCTGTAAAGAGATGGTTTAGAAAAGGATAAGTTAGCATATGAAGAAAGCATAGGAGACTTAATAGCCATGGAAGAAGAATATGGCTTGAAATCACTCATGCCTACTTTGACTACAATCTCTGAAGCATACTTTTGTTGAAAAAGAACATGGCCAAAAAAAGTCTTGGTGACAGAAATACCAAGAAAATAGTTAATAAATCCTAGTTCTTTTATAGAAAAAGTGGCATGCATTTGTTGAATTAGAGAAGTAATGTAAAGAGGGTCACTGTCTCTGAAAAGAATATCATCTCTATATATGAGAAGAATGGTGATAGAAGTAGAAATCTTTTGGACAACAGAACTTTGTTTAACTTGCAAACAAGATGAGACTGAGTAGCATGAACAAAACCTTGTGGTTGGACCACGTACACTTCTTCTTCAAGAACACCATGTAAGAAAGCATTTGAAATGTCAAGCTGTTTGATTAGCCAATCAAAATAAAAAGCAAGACACAAAAGAAGTCTGATAGTCGGTTATTTAGCCACAAGACTAAAAGTCTCATGATAATCCACTCCCTCAGGTTAAAGAAAACCCTTAGTAACTAGTCTAGCTTTATGTTTAGCTATTGTGTCATCTGAATTCTTTTTCAACCTATAAACCCATTTGCATCCTATGGCCTGTTTGCCAGGTGGTAAAGACACTAAGAACCAAGTACCTTGCCTTTGAAGGGCTTCATATTCGTCAAGCATAGTAGCTTGCCAAGCAAAGGAGGAAGCTGCTTCATGATAAGTCTAAGGTTCAAAGCGATTAGTGGAAGCAATAAGACAGACATAAGTGGAAGAGAAATGAAGAAATTTGGATTTAGATCTGGTGATCATGGGATGAGCATTAGATGAAACACATGGAAGATTAATAGAAATAGAAGAGTTAGGAATTTGAGAAGGAGGATCAGTCGAAAGCTAAGAAACAATAGTAGAAAGATAAGGAACAGCAACAGAAGAGGGAGCTGGTGATGAAGAGATGATAGAAGCTGGTGATGAAGAGATAATAAGAGCTGGTGGTGAGGAGATAATAGGAGTTGGTTGTGAGGAGATGATAAGATAATCTATATGAGGTGATGCAATAGAAATGTGGGCATGTGTAGAAGAGGAGTGAGACTTAGATGGATTTGCAGAAGAAGATGGCTAGAAAAAATTAATTAAATAGGAAACTGAAGAAGAAGAAGAAGAAGAAGAAGAAGAAGAAGAAGAAGAAGAAGAAAAAGACTTAAAGGGAAAACAAGACTCATCAAAGACTACATGTCTTAAGATGTAAACTTTTCCTGATTGAGGATCAAGACACCTATACCCTCTAATAGAAGGATAATAGCCAATGAAAACACAGGGATGGATTTTGGTTGAAGCTTATGAGTAGTATATGACTTGATCCAAGGATAACACTTACAACCAAAAGACCTTAAGACCTGGTAATTAGGTTTGTGTTTGAATAGAACCTCATAAGGAGTAAGATTGTTGAGCTTGAAAGCATGATGCCTATTGATCAAGAAAACAATAGTGGCAAAGCATCAAACTAATGGATCAAAGGAAGAAAAGAATGATGTATGAGAGTAATGGTAGTTTCTATTAGGGCTGCAAATGAACCGAATTGTTCATGAATAAGCTTGGCTCGGCTCGGCTCATTTAGTAAACGAGCCGAGCTCGAGCTCGCATAAGCTCGGCTCGTTTATCATTATTTAAATTATATAATAAATATATTATTTATATATTAAATAATATATAAATATATATAAATACATTATTTATATATTAAATAATATAAATAATATTAAAAAAATTTTATTGAGCCGAGCTCGAGTTTCATTAAAATTAACAAGCCGAGCCGAGCTCGAGCACAGTTCCTTATCGAGCCAAGCTCGAGCTCAATAAACGAGCTTGATAAGTAAACGAGCTGAGCTCGGCTCGGCTTGGTTCGTTTGCAGCCCTAGTTTCAATGAGATGCCTATGTTTCTTATCAGCTACAATATT